CAGTTCTCAAGTCTGGAAGTTCAAGTCAAGGTGTAGACAGGTTGGATTCTTCTGAGGCCTCTCTCCTGGACATGTAGATTCTGTCTACTCTGTGTCCTCACAGGGTCTTCCCTCTTTGTGCATACTCCTAATCTCTATAAGGACACCAGTCTATTGGATTAGGGTCTACCCTAACAGCTTCATTGTAGTGTGTTTACATCTTCAAAGGCTCTATCTTTAGACACAGTCACAGCCTAAAGTTCTGTGGGTTAGGGCATCAATATATGAATTCTTGAGGACACAATTCATGCTGTAACAGGTGGGGTCAGACATGAAGAAAGGCTTAGGTGTCAGAGGAAGTGAGTAGAAGATATTCCTGATACTCTGTAATTGATTTGGCATCCTGGAGTTGGAGGCCATGCTAATCCCAAGGCTGTTTAGCCCATTATCATCCCAGCGTTTCTGTGGCACATGGAAAGCATATTACAAATCTTCAGTCCAAACCTCAACTGTGCATTTTGCTTTCTGCCCAGTAGAAAATGGTTCCTTCCCACTACTATGTAAGAAAAGGCCCCTTCCAGTTCTGCTTCCTCTGCAAGTGGTGTGTGGTCCTTTGTGGTGTGGTGTGTGGCCCTAGGTGGTGTGCCGGGCCTTCCCATCCTCTGGGGGAAGTGTAACAAACTGCTTTCAAAGTTTGTCTCCGTGCCTGTCATCTCACCTAAAATTTTGATTGAAATGAATCTCAGGTACATATTAAAATAAGGTAACAATTTCCTGGCAGACAACCACCTGCTAGGACTTAGGGATTCACATCCAAGGCTACATCATTCCAATCCTGTGGAGGATAAAATAACTGTGGTACATCTAGAAAGGAATATTATTCAGTGAGATACCAAGCCATTTCTATAAAATAGGTAATAATAACCAATTCACTAGGCTTCAGTAAGGATTAAGTAAGTGCTTTATATTTTCAGAATCATCTAGGACAACATAGGCACTAAACAAATGACACTTAACAATTATGAAACAGGAATCTGCAGGAATCCCTACCTCCTGCTCTACTCTTCCTTCCTTTTCTGCCCTCCCTCCATGCCCCAAATACCTGTGCTCACAGGTTCCTGGCAGCAAGGTGCAGTTCTTAGAGACCCTGGGTTATGCCTGGTTCTGTTCCCAAATGTGACAAACTCTAAGTCCCTCAGGGGGTATTTGCTGTTTACATGAGTGTCAATGGGGAAACTCAGTGACATGGGCCAGTGTGGGAAAGAATGTCTGGGGACTGTGAAGAGGGTCCAGGCGAGGACTAACTACATATGAGGGTGGATACAGTGGGTGGGCAACATTTTTTTCTGGAATTTTCAATATACTTACCTTTACTAACTACCAATTTCTTTGCTATATGGAGACATCCTTTGTGACATTAAATACATGCTGGCCACTCTAATGTCACATCATATTCTGTAGTCTCCAATCTGCTCTCAGTGGACACGCTGGATTGCATAATAATCCTACAGCAAGTATCCATGTGCACAGGCTTTGTTTTATATTCTCATGCAGTTGCTCACTTAGGAAAAGGTGAAAAGGTATGTTTACTTTTTGGGACAGTGAACATTTCACACCTTATTTGGTCACACAGGGAACTTGACCAAACTGGGCAGGCACCCTGGTCCCTGGCTGGGCTGATCCCCGGGATAGATGGTATGTTGTGTTGTCCTAGAGCAAGGTCTATCTTGAAACAGAAATCTTCCCCCTTGGCCTACTGTCTCCTACCCCTCAGCCAGTTGCAGCTGCCTCCTCCACTTGAATGCGCCTGTGTAAGGTCGTGGTGCATACAGGCTACTTTTGTCTTATGATTTTACAGATGGTCTATCCTGGAGGGTGTCCCATAATGCACTGAGTAAGAGTGTGTATTTTGCTACTTTGGCTAGAGAATTTCAAAGATGTATTAGATCTAGTTAATGAATGGTCCCATTCAAGTAGTCTGTTACCTTTTTGATATCATCTTGTTAATCGCTATTGAAAGTGGAGTACTAAAGTTGCCAACTATTGTTAAACTTCATTTCTCCTTTCAATTCTGAGTTTTCACTTACTATGTTTTGGGGCCTACTGTTTACTGCATATGTTTACATCTTTTTGATGGGTTGATGTTATTTTTTTATTGCTTGTAACAATGTTTGCCTTAAAGTCTGTCTTGTCTGATATTAATAATATAGTCGGGCCCACCCTGGTGGCGCAGCGGGTTAAAGCACTGCACTAAGAAGCTAAAGCCACTTCCGCATGAGTTCGATTCCCGCCTGCCCCTAAGGTGACCACATGGCGTGGAAGACCTCTCCTGACCCGCTCCTGCTGCTCCCCTCAGCAGTGTACTTCATCGATCTGCCTGTTCTGCTCCCTGCTCTGTGTGTGGTGAATCCTCTCACCGTTCCTGCACCTCTAGCCTATACCTCAGATCTTGTATGCATAGTTAAATAAATCTTTAAAGATATAGATATAGATAAACTTTTTCCATTCTTTTGGATCTTACTTGTTCTTAAGTGAGTCACTTTAAAAGCAGCTTAATCATGGTATGACAAATCAGTGCAACTTAGTAAATAGATCTTATCAAGGCTCTGGAATCTATTATATGCTTCCACATGTTTTACACACAGAAATAGGCACAAGTGACAGCCTCAGGGAATTATCCCTAGGAGAGGGAGTGGGTAAAGAGGGCATGAGGACTTTGGGGGGCTACCCTCATTTGCTTCTCATCTAGATGGTGGGTCAGTGTGTTCAGTTTACTAGAATCTAGACAATGGACACTTTTGCTTGCACTCTTTTTCATGTATGCTATACTTACTTCACAAGCACCTTAGAGTAAATAAAACAAATCATGACTGCTTACTTGGGAAGGAGATTTAAAAAGAGATCCTGGCATGCATGAGTACATGTGTGTGTGCGATCACTGATTCCTCTTGTTCTTTCCTCCTAGGAGGCCCATAAGTGTTGTGTTCATAGTATCCACATAGGGAATAATCTTTTGTGGGTGATGTACTGTGGGACTGCTTCTTCACTCTTAGAGAAGGAACTGTGTAAGTGGGGGTACTTCTTCATACCAAGAACTTGAGCTTACAAAAGTAGGTTCGTAACAGTGGGGGAAGGGAAATGCACTGGACTATGGTGATGGCACATGGGTGATTTGGTGATGGGAAGTCCACAGGGATTACAACCGAGATGGGAAAAGGCACAAAATGATGTAAAAATAAACTATTATAAAAATAAATAAAAAACAAACAAAAGTAGGTTCATAGGTGAACAAGGTGAATTCACAAGTGCTAGTGTGCTTGTCCATAAGAAATTCAAGAAAATGGTACACATAGCCTTTCCAGCTTCACTGTTTAGACATGGTTGAAAGCACAGAGTCCCATTCCTGCCAAAAGTCCCATGCTGGATAATAAGAGAATGTAGGCTTATCTCTTGTCATAAGAAGTTCCCGTGGGCAGGAAGCAGCACAGTGCCTTGCAATACTGGCAGTCCCACTGTGTGCTCCAAAAGGCACTATCTTGGAAGTTCAAGGAACTTAGTAGCTGCTGGGCATACAGCTGTGTTCACTGTATACAAACCTGTACTAAATATGACGATGTGAGTACTTTCCTGATACAAAGTATGTTTTGTAAAAAGCTGACTTGAAATTACACTTCCCACAGGACCAAGTTTCAGTCGTACATTAGCATTCCAGACCTTGGTGCTGGTGATGGCAGCAAGGAGTTTATCACCAATACTTAGCCACTGAGTACCTGCTGCAGGCCTGACATCTCAGGTTTGATGAGGTTTCACAACCTTGAGCAAAGAACTACCATTCTCAAATTACAGAAGGGAAGCTGATGCTTGAAGTTGATAAGTCAGCTACCCACAGAGACTACAGCTGAAGGGCTATCTCCAAGCCGGTGCTATTAGCTGCACCTCCTGCTGGTGGTGGAAGTGAAATGTTGCAGGGAGAGGAAGGAGGTGTCAGGCATAGGGAATTTCCCTTTTGGTTGGGGAAACTGAGCAGCAAACCTTTCAGTATTAAATGTTCCTTCCCACAGGTTCATGGGACCCCACCCACTTGGGAAGCTGCCAGTCCATCCCTGAAATGAACAGCCATATGTGTGAGTACCCAGAGCACACAGGAGCTATCAAAGGCCTTTGTTTCTGTGCTGGTATGAATCAAACATCCGAGCAGGTGGGACTGTGCCAGGGTCACAATGTGCCGAGCTCACAGTGAAGCCAAGGATCAGGGATGTTCCCATCTGGAACGGGATCAGTCCTATCTGGTCTACTACCAGGTGCCCCCTCCTTCTGGGAGTCTCCTCCAAATCAACTGCAGGCTCTCTTCTTAACTCTTTCCAGCGACTTGATGCAGCAATGTGGCTAGCAGAAGAGGAATAGTCTTTCCAACTGCTGAGTTAGAAAAACAAGCCTCTTTTGAAAGATTCAAATTGAACATGGGTCCAGGCAGCTGCTACTAAAGAGAAACAGAAATCACTGGAGGGACCTAAAGAGGCTGGGGGACACCAGGTACAAGAAGTGTTCTGGGAGATGACAGGGCCTCAGCTGGCCTCCCAGAAGGAAACCCTGAGGTTTGGTGGAAGGCAGTCAGGTCTGACTGAGGCTGTCAGGAAGGGGGTAAAAGAGTATCCCAATCTTTACTGTCCCTTCAGCCATGGCCTGTCCCCACACAACCACCAACAGACTCAGAGTACCTTTGAACACATTCCTGAGTTGAGAGGACAAAGAGTTGGACAGTGAAAGATCGGTGCCATTCAAGCCCTTGCTTTCTCGTCAGGATGGCATGATAACAGTGTGCTCTCACCACCATACTGCTGGGTGCTCCCGACATCTGATGCCACAATGCCCTCCTCACACACCCCACGATGGGCCCCAGGTTGATTCCAGCCCCAACACCGTGATTACCAATAAATGCTTCTTGTTGGAGGTGCTGGAATTGAGGTGTGGTGCTGAACCAATAATCACCTGGGCAGTCATAGAGCACAAGCCACGTGCTTTGTCTTTTTATTATTCTTTATTTATTGGTCCTACCAATATGACCCTTTACCCAGGCCCACTGTTCCTATGTGTGCTGGCTTTGCAGACATTTGTGCCATCTTTGTTCCAAATCGTGACTGATTTCTCTTTCCTATTCCTTTTCCATGTTCTGCCTAATTTTCTCAGAACCTGAAAGCATTTTTGTTTGGGTCTGTGTAAAGGTTCCGTGGCAGGAGAACATGCATATGCTTTTAAAATAAAGACAACATTCTGACACTAAGTAATGCACAGAAAAAAAAAATACAGTACTCAGACATCATTGCAAATAAATACCCCATACAGATGAAGTTATCGTAAATGTAACATTTCTTAAGAATCAACACTGTAAGAGAAGGTAAAAAAGGGGGTCCCTACATCTAGGAATAAGAAATGCTTATTCCAGGAAACAGAATTCTTTTTTATTCTTGCTGCTTATATTATTATAATTTACCCTTTTTTTGGAGGAGAGGACACTTTTTCTTCTTCCTCTATGAGTACCAATTTTACCATTCACCCAACTTCACTCAGCAAATCAGAACAGACCTGATTTGCTAAGGAGCTTCAGCGAGTTCTGTTTCCTGAAATTAACAGTGATTAGTTACACCAAGCAAGAGAATATATAACATCTCTTTCTCACATTTGCAAAGAATACTATGGCTAGCCTTCACCATGCTGACGAGGCCAACATTGCCGGCCCCCCCGCCACCCCGGCTCTTCACAAACGTGGTGTGTTGTTCACACAGCTTGCTTAACTTGTCCCATAAAGTCCATTTGGTTCCCAAAGTACACTCAATATTTATGTTCACTTTCATTTTCTCAGCCCCTGAATTTGCAAGGATCTGCACAGTAAAGAATCACTGACTAACAGAATTTTGCACAATTGCTGTTTCATTCCCTCAATGAAGATGCCCAGGTTCAGGTACAAAGGTGTGTACCCATTCATACCTATGGGTCCACACTGGCCTTCAGCATTCCCAACTAGCTCTTCACGGTCCACATTAGAATAAACTACGCTGGGACACCTCCCTTATCTGATGAAGGCACTACTGGCAATGATTACTAACAAAAAGGTGTTAAAATAGAACACCTTAAAAATCGACAACTGTAGAATTTTTCTAAGTGTACCACAATTTGGCACAACAACCAGAGTAACAAAACAATTCCAATTTGGAATTTCACTGGTACAGTTGTATAAAATTCTGTTAATCAGTCATGCTTCACAATGTCCTAAAACCCAGAAAATTCTGGAATTTGTAGGTAATACTACTCATTCAATAATTTATCTTTTGTTTTCAAGTGCCTATTACTGTGTAACCAGAGCAAAGGTCAAGTTTTCTTCTTGTTACATTGAACTATTCCTAAGAATAATAATAATACAATATGAAAAACCCCAGAATTGGAATACCCTGGATTTCTTAATGAACATGGCATTAAAAACCTGTAATTTCAAACATGAACCATAATGCTGTATAATCTAACAGGCTGCTGAACCACCGCGTGGACACGCCAGTGAGTGCCTCGCTGGCTTGGCGAAGCCATCATTTAAGCAGCCTAGAGCTACACGCACAGAGGACACACCGTGCCACGTGCCCATGTCAGACTAACACATTGGGAGCTAAGACAGAGGGCTACAGGACCGCAAGACACACCATGGCATCTGAGACCGTCCCTATGCAAGGGGTTAAGGAAGCAAATATAATATCAAAGTATCAAAAGTGCACAGGTTGATCGGATAAAGGAGTATCTGTGACAGGGAGACCCTGTGATGCGAGTTTCTAGCGGGTTCCTAAACGAGCCTGTGGTCACTATGAAGCAGGTTCCTCAGCTTTTGTACAAAGGCCTTTCCAAGAGCAGCTCATGGCTTCTCAACATTAAAGCTTTTTTTTCCTCTCCCACTAAAAACTCGGGAATGCTATTTTGAAAAGAATTGCAGTGGCATATCCAAAATGTTTCTAAGTGGATTTTTGGACCTCCCTTCCTTCCTCTGCGTGGGCCCACAGGAGGGAAGGGGGGCTGCAGTGTGACAGGGCCGGCGGCCGAGTCCTCCTGGTAGCTACTCTACAGCTGAAAATGGGAGAAAACAAGACATCATTAGAACCGGTCATCTGTCAGACAGCGGAAGCCCCACTGAGCTTATTAGTTGGCAGAGAAGAGATACCTGCATGTGTTAGGGGGCTGCCGGCCTAAGTGACCCCTTACAAGTAGAAAGAAGCTGCAAGTCAGACTGGCAAAGGGGGCAGAAGAATGCGTGGAGTCAGCAGGCAGCCATGCCAAGTCCCGCTTGAGCAGGAGCTAGGGGATACCTGACCCTTTCTCAAGTGGAAGAGAATTCAAGACTGGGTGTCTGTCAACAAAGTAGCCTGACAGCCAAGGATGGGGGCACATAACTCGTGTCTCTCAGATTCTAGAGGCTTCCCAAACACAGGCAAGCCTGCGGTATTCAGAGTCAGTGGTGGCAGAGTAATGCTTGGGAAACAAAAGGAAGGGTGGGTTGAGGGTTGGGGGAGCCAAGGATAGGTGCCACAGAGAGACAAGGTCAGGAATGGTTCAGGCGGGGCAATGGCAGGGGAGAAATACTGAAAAGTTCTGCTTCCAAGTGTGTGAACTCAGATGGCCTACGCCAAAGTTCAGGTGTGTTTGGAAGCAGCCCAGGAGATGAAAGAATCTCATGCTGCCTTTCCTGTCTTTCACTATCTGGAACTGCACTAACCAGACTCACATTCCTCCTCTGGACCCTCAAAACAGCAGGGACCCAGGCCTGACACCTTCCCAGTGCTGACTGGGCCATGGCTGCAGTGTGGGGTCTGCCATTTCAGCCCAGCCACCAGCCACCAGGTTCAGAACAGAGATATCCAGAGCCCTGTTTCTTGTGGAATAAGCCCACTGGAAAGAAAGCCTGAAAATGGGCAGAGGACAAAGAAATCTGCCCTGAAAGCTGGGAATACCCTAAGTACAAAAGGATGGCTTCTTGCTGAGGGCAGAAGTCTGGTCAGGCACTTGGAAAGTTTTTCTCATTAAAAACACCCTAGGCCCTGGGGCCTGTTAACGGTCACCTCACAGACCACCAGACAGGAATGCAGATACCAGAAAGAGAAGCCAAGGCTGTGAACTCTGGTCTCGGGCATGGCCAGACAAGCCTGCGCCAAGCCAGAGTGACCAACTGCCACTACACATTCAGCTAGAGGACTCAGCACCTTAAGGCTGCTCTTTCTCTGGGTCTGAGGGAAGAAACTGTGTACTCTTATCCCAGATACAATTTGCAGTGAGAGGGTGTACAAACTACAAAGTAATTCTCTCTGTGAACTGCAGAGCATCCTCTGAGGCTGCACCTAGGATTTAGGCCGGAACCTTTAAAGCTGCCTGCTGGGGGCTGGGGCGGCCTGACTGCACAGATACATGCAGGGACATGCAGGTTCAATTTGGGTTCTGCCCCCTTCAGGAGCCAGCTACATCCAGGAAGGGAAGCCCTATTTCTGCAAGGGCTCAGAGCATCGACCCCATCTTGACCCCACCTAGGAGAGCAGATGCTGTGAAGGGCGTCCCCGAAGGTGAGAAGCAGACACAAAGCTTGCGTGTCCAGGTGAAGCAGTGCCAACTTGGCTAGATCCTTCCCTCTGTGCATTAGTCATGGTTAAGACCAGCCTAGCACTGCAGTCCCGCTGCTGCTGGGTTAGTCGAGAAGCAGACAGGTGACGTGCGGCACATTAGCTGAGCGCAAGGCTCTCAGTAAATGTTATATTTCTCACTGCAGAACACCTGGGTAGCAAGCCCGGAGTTCTCAGCCCTATCGCTGGTGCAGGCACAGGCATGACTTACGCTCGGAGTGCTGGGCTTGGCCTTGGGGGCTGCCTTGGTGCGGCCCCGTCGGGCCTGCTCATGGTCCAGCTCAAGCAGCTCCAGACGCTGGGTCAGTGCCAACTTCTGCTGGATGGCCATGCGCAGCAGTGAGTTGAGTGTCTTCTTCTCGTCCTCGGCAGCTGCCAGCTGCCGCTGCATCTCATCCAGCTGTGTAATGTACTCATCACACCTGCAAGCGCAAGAGGCAAAAATGTTTTAGAGGACTGGGAAAGCTAGGTGGAATGTGGGTGCTGTGGGCAGCCCTGTCTCAGCATCTGTTTAATTGTGACAAGTGCCCCACATATCTGGGTTTGAGTTCAGGGAAAGAAATGGCCACTGTGGTCTGTTCACAAGAACAGCGGTGAACAAAGGCCCAGCTGAGCAGGTCTCTGATCTTGTCTCCAAGAAAGCCAGGCCTTTAAATGAAACAAGTTAGAAAGTTTACCTACCATATACTAAGGGTACATCCTGCTGAAGTCTGCAACTTTCTTTACTTGTCTTCACCCTTCCTCCCCTGTCACAGAGAAATGGGGAGTGCCTAGTACCCAGGTGAAGAGAACCACACCCTGAGCTAGGTAGGACCTGTCTAACTAGAAGCTCCAGCGGAATCCACACCCATGTGGGACATCCCAGGGCCCACTGTCCTTCCACCAGCTGCCAGCAGATGGCACCATATCCCTCTAGATGCATGGAGGCCTGTGCGTCAGCCTGTGTGTTGTGTGCTCATGAGACTGTTAAGTTCCTGACTGACCATCAGGAAGGGTAATGAAACTTGTTGCCCTTCCCATCAATCATAGCTGGCAAGAGTCAGATGAGGATCACTGACTGGCCTTCCGTGGATTCCTTCTGTAGCTACAAACAAAATTCCCACCAAGTTCTAAGAGGCAAAGTCCTTATTAGTGTTAGTGATTGGCCCTTCTGTAACTGACCATCATGACAACTGGATGGCCTACCCCAACCACCTGCCCTCTACTGAAATTCCCATGTCCAATTAGAGCCATGAGAGCCTATCCTCTAAGCCTATGACTCTAGCCACCTCATCGTGTAAGTAAAATGGAGATAAAACTGGGCCCTCTGGGTTTCTATGAAGAGAAGTGGAAATTCCTGCAAGGTCCTAAGGAGCAGCAGAAATAGTAAGAGTCATGGGGAAACCGAGGTACAGGTAGGCTGGTCCCCAGTAGGTCCAGCTAGCTCCTACATCCCTGTTCTTGCCCTCCCCAACCAAATTACCTGGTAGCAAACATGGCGCGCAGTGAAGAGAAGGTGGCTGCATCCTCCTTGAGTGCTTTGAGCTCATTGCGCAGCTTCATCATGGTCTCAGTCACCATGGCCTTCTCGTTCTCATACTTGCTCTTCAGGTTGGCAAGGGCAACCTCAGCTGTCTAGGGTCAGAGATGCACAGAGGGCCCCTCAGTAGGTATCACAGGTTGAGGGCACCTTAGTGTGGCCCCTTCTGCTCCAGGATCTCCCTCAACACACCAGTCCCCATAGGCCAACATCTAGGCGCTCTACCTAAAGCAGCAGGCCTACAAAGCATCACTGCAGGCCTGAAATAGCTACCAGCCCACTGGGCCCCCAGGAGGACAGGAAGCGAGTGATTGGGGTAGTGGATGAAGAACTCCCTGTCCCCAGTGGTCCCCAAGTATGGGCCTACCTGCTTGTTGGCCTTGAGCACTGTGCGCAGCGTGGTGATCTGCTCCCGCTTGGTGGTGAGCAGAGACTTGAGTTTGAGGATTTCCTCCATGAGCGCCTCCCGGTCCTTGTCAGCAGAGGGGCCCAGCTCCTGAGAGGCCAGACGCTGCCGTGACAGCTCTGTGGTGCGGTCCACAGCCGCCTGCAGGTGCCTGATCTGGTCTCGTATGATGGCAATCAGGTTGTAGATGTTCATGGGCTCCCGGCGTGGATCACTCAGAGGAGAGGGCAGCGAAGAGCCTGATGAGGGGCTGTTATCCCCAGGCCCAGCCTCTGTAGCTGGTAGCCCCTTGGGCAGGATGGGCGAGCGGCGCCCACGAGCCTCAGGGCCCTCACGGTAATAGTCCAACACAACACGGGTGGGCGTCTCGTTGTTACACATGCACACATGGTGGTACAGGTTGGCCAGCTCTTCACTGAAGGTCACTAATTCATCCTGGGCCACACTCAGGCTACCCTGTGTCTCACCTGCAACATCGCTCACCTTCTTCAGTTCCGCCTGCAGCCGCGTCAGCAGCTCACGGTCCTGACGGCTGGCTTTCTCCAGCAGGGAGACCTTTTCTGTGAGTGCTTGGCGCTCAGCCTCATGCCGACCCTTCTCTTCAGCATGATGGACCTCACCAGCCTCGTGTGTGTTTTGCAGGGCCTTCAGTTGCTCCCGGAGCTCACTGGCCTCTGCCAGGGCCACACGGTACTTGCAGGCCAAGATCTCGGGTCCGTCGATGTCCACCTCATAGTAGTCACCATCCTCATGGCTATCGCGTTCCTTCTCACTGTCCAGGGCTGTCCGACGCTCTTTGCCAGCCTGGAGGCGCCTCAGAGCACTCAGGTTTTCTGTGAGACGGCTCACCTCCTCGCACTGCTCTGACAGGGAACCCCGTGCCTGTTCCAGTTGCTTCTGCGTGTCCTGCAGCGTGGCCAGGAGGTTCACTTTCTCCCGCTCCATCTGCAAAGGCACAGAAAGGGTCTTAATGCTTCAACAGGCCCCTGACAGTGCTAGCAGAGACACTGCCTAGACAACAGATGTCACCAAGCTAGCTAGTCTGAAATGCCTGGATGGTGTCACATCCAGAAAGGGGGATCTTTCTTCTTCCCAGGGACTTGCAGATCTGGTTGGGACCTAGGATTCAGTTTCATCCCTAGGGTTCCATTTAGTCTTAAGGCAGGAAACCCTGAGGTGACAAATATATAGGCACAATAGGGAGACTGCATTGTTGACACTAAGGAGGAACACAAAAAATGTCAGCAACAACCAAACTCTAAGCCCATGACCAAAAACCTACTTTCTTGGTGCCTTCACCTGTGACACTGCTTTTCCAAGTATGGCAATGATGCCAACACCTGAAATAAACCTAAGGGAAAGGTTCAGGATGGCATGGTGAATGCTGCCCTGGTAGGCATTAAGGGGGATGCAGATGCCCAGGATCATGAGGAGACCCAGGAGGGGGCCCTCTTACCTGCATCAGCTGCTGCTTCAGCTTCTGGATCTCAGAGATATTGAGCTCACTGAGGAGATCGGACACAAGGCTGGGGGGTGGGGGCGCCAGGCCATCCTTGGTGGGTGTGGAGGTCTTGTTGTCCAGTGGCAGCTTGGCCAGCCCACCGTGCTCAAAGCCATTGGCCAGGCCCTCAGTGTCCTCACTGAGCTTGAGTCCATCCAGGGAGACGTGCAGATGGCTGGTATAAAGGGAGTCATTGATGCTCATGTAGTGTGACAGCTCCTTACGCAGGCTGTTCTTCTGCTCCCGCTCTGTTTTCAGTGTCTCCAATGCCTCCTCCAGCTGCCGCTCTGAGATCTCCTTGAGCCGGATGGCATCCTCCAGCTGGCTGTTAAGGTACTCAGTTTCCTCCTCCAGACGCTTGATCTCATGCTTGAGGCCCTCAAACTCTACCTAGGGAGGAAAGGCCAACACACTGCTGGGCCTGAACATGTGGCTGGGGACAAGTGCGGGTCTGCTCACTCACCACCAGGAGGTGCACACGCATAGGCTCTCAGCACAAGCACACAGCACCCTATACACTATATGCCCACCATGTCTGGAGTAAGTGTACACGTAGTGTGCATCGGGTAAAAGCCTGAGACTTGCTCAGAGCCAGCGATGCTGTGAAAGTCAGAAAGAGCACATCGACGCTACAATTTATTAGGTTATACTTAAAAAATGTCACCAAGTGGACCCTCCTGGTGGCGCAGCAGGTTAAAGCACTGCACTGAGAATCTAAAGCCGCTTCTACATGAGTTCGATTCCCGCCTGCCCCGGAGGTGACCACATGGTGTGGCAGACCTCTCCTGACCCACCCGCTGCTCCCCTCAGCAGTGTACTTCGTCGATCTGCCTGTTCTGCTCCCCACTCTTGTCTCTGGTGAAGCCTCTCACCGCCCCTGAGCCTCTGGCCTATACCCCAGTCTGTGTGCATAAATAAATAAATCTTAAAAAAAAAAAAAAAAAAATGTCACCAAGTGTATACCAATCTAAAATTCTACAATTAACACTGCAGTTGATAAGTATTTCAAAATACATTTTAAAATGCATCTAGATGTGCACTACAACCATTATCTCTAATCATATTTCAAACAAAAGAACCAAAACTCCCACTGAGGCAAGTGCTGTGGCTTCTCACAACACCCAGACCGGAAACTCCTGAGCTGGGAGAGAGGGAAGCAGAATTCATACTTGCTGAATTGTATTGGCAGATAGGCCAGGAAAGAGCAGACAGAAAGAGATACTTGACTGTAGATACTTGTAGATACTTGTAGATACTTGAACGTCTATTGGCAATTTTTAAAACATTTCTTACTCCAGACCTCCCTGGTGGCATAAGAGTTAAATGACAGCGCTATCATACTGTCACCTCTGTGGTCTGAGTTCAATCCCTGACCCGGCTCAGATGCATTTTAAAATGTATAGGCTCACCCACCTATAGCACAGCAGACCTCTCCTGTCTTGTTCCTTTCCTCTTACTGGTATATTTCAGTAAATCTGCCTGCTCCGCTCCCCTGTCTTTCTCTGGGGAAAATTCTTAATCCCCTTACCTCTAGCCTGCACCTCTGCTTTATATACGTAAATAAATAAAAATAAATCTTAAAAAAAAAGTTTATAAAAAACACTTTTATTCGGTAGTATTTGTGCAAGAAATAAACGAACCTCTCAGGTGCAGAACTTGAGCTGATCTGAGTGAGTTCTGGTCCCAGAGACGGGGCTGTGCTCCACCTAGAGACACTAGGGCCAGCCAGAGGCGGTATCTCCTGAGCCTTAGCTCCTGGCCTCAGGAGGCTGTTTGTGACTACTGATGAGCACAGAGTCACAGTCAGCCAGTAGGACAAGCCTTGAAGGGTCTGAGGGCCAGGGTTAACTGGATAGCCTTTCACAGGTGGTGAAAGTTCCTGTCCAGTCATGGGTGGGGACAGCTCTCTTTATTCCTCCTTTTCTTGGATAGAAGTTCCTCAAGGGCCCCCAGTTACACATTACAATCCCCACATTTCCTCATCCTGCTTCTTTCCAAGGGTCACCCACAGGCCCAGGACAACATAGGAGCAAGGAAATGGAGCAACTGCCAAGCCTGAAATAACAGGAGGGATGGGGATGCAGCTGGACACTGGTCTTGGGTTTTTGTTACAACCTCTTCATCACCTCTTATATTTTTCCCATTTGGGGGAGCTGGGTGCCTTGGCCAGACCAAAGGTCAGCTAACATTACAGCCAGACATCTGATTTTCTTGATCTTAGAGGGTCTGGGCCCAGCTGTTGCATCCCAGTTCATAGCAGGTGTGTGGGGGAAGCCAAGACTGTGGTATAGAGCTAGCCCACCCCTAGTGGCTGGCTCTACTCACCTGGTTCTGCCTGAGCACTGACACCTGTTTCTGCAGGCTGATGTTCTCCTCTTCCAGCTCCGAGTAGTCCTGCAGCAGGCGGGCCTCTCGGAACTTGTACTCCTTGATGTCATCCCGCAGGCGGCCCCGCTGGATTTCCACATTCTGGTTGATCTGCCAACAGGAGAGGTGTGATGGTGAGCAGCCAATCGAGGTCAGGCCCACCACCCCTGGGACACAGGGGTCTCAGTGAAGCTGGGCCCAGGGCAGTGTGGTGTGGGGGTAGAAAGTGGAGGGTCTCTGTCTGACCTTTGGTTTAAAAGTTGCTCCTCCACATATTCCTGTTAGGATGCGGTGTCAGCCCTGTGGACAGGGCTCAACAGATAACTGCCAGCTGATCCACATGTCCTTCCTCAGCACATACCCCAGAGATGTGAAAACACAGCCCCACAAAAACTAGTACATGAGGGCCCTCCCTGGTGGCGCAGCGGGTTAAAGCACAGCACTAAGAAGCTAAAGCCACTTCCACATGAGTTCGATTCCCACCTGCCCCGGAGGTGACCACATGGCGTGGCAGACCTCTCCTGACCCGCCCGCTGCTCCCCTCAGCAGTGTACTTCGTGGATCTGCCTGTTCTGCACCCCACTCTGTCTCTGGTGAATCCTCTCACCCTCTGCATCTCTGACCTGTACCCCAGTTCTGTACTAATAAATAAATCTTTAAAAAAAAAAAAAACTAGTACATGAATATTCAAAGAGCACTCTTCACAACAGTGAAAGGTGGAGATAGCCCAGTGATGAATGGATAGTGAGTGGCCAATCCTCACAACGGAACATTCGGCCTCAACAAGGAGTGTAACATGCATGGGCCCTGTAAACAGGATTACCAGTGAGAGAAGCCAGGCACGAGAGGTCACGTATTGTGATTCCACTCACATGAAGGTCCAGAACAGGTAGATCCACAGATGGACAGTTGATGAGTGGTTGCCAAAAGGGACAGAGAATAGTTGCTACAAGCTTTCCTTTGGGAATGGTGAAATGTCCTAAACTGGGTTGGGATGGCGCACATATGTGTGAATATACTAAAAACCACTAAACTGTGCACACCTTAAGTGGGTGAGTGGAAAAGTGTATGAATTATCCCAATGAAGATGTTATGAAACAGTCCCGCTTCCAGTGGCCTCCAGAATTCAGATGTCACACAGGGGAGAGGCAAAAGTAACCAAGTAATAGAGCAGGAAGGTCCTCTCTAGTAGAAAGAAATCTGGGAAAGCTTCCCCCATGGGTAGGATAGAGACTCAACTTCCCCGGCAAAACCCTGGGGCAATCTATTGCTGGCAACAGGGTCTGCAAGGTTCTCAAAGCTCTTGGAGTCCTATCCTGCCCTGCTCCGTCACCAGACCTGGAACACAGCACTGACAAGGGCATATAGACCCTATAGGGAAGTCTGGCTAGGTAAAGCCAGTCACAAGCTTGTCTGGGACACCAGTGGCAAGTGAGGGCACCATCTGCTGACCCAATACCTGGTTTCTGGAATAAGCCTCCACCCTGCAACACCTGGTGATTGAGGAACAAGCCAGCTCTGACTGACTGCTGTGAGGTTGTTAACCTCAAGTGAACATTTCCCTCTAGGGAAGCCTGATCCCAGCAATATCAGTGGACATTGGAGGCTCCTACAGAGAAGGTAGTGTGAGATCTACCTCAACCCTCCTTCTTCAGGATGTATAGAATCTCAAGGTACATGTTAGCTCAAGGGAGTAAGTACACTGTGACCTCTGGGGACAAGCTGGCCCCTGGTAGGTGGCCTGCCCCACTCCCGTCCCCATCTACCAAGCATACTCACATCTCAGCCCTCAAGTGCCCTAAGGGGTCAGCCAAGGCAGATCCTCCCATGGCTCAATGTCCATAGGACTTACACCAGCAGGGGCTCACATCAGAGGAATTCAGTGGAAAAATGTTTTAGGGTGAGAAATCAAAAGTCTACGGGGCAAGAGCTGGGTAAATCTAACTCTTGTCTTCCACTCAAACTTCCACCCTCGCCCTGTCCTGTCCTAAGTGGGGCTGAGGTCTATGGAGAGGCGCTACAACCTGGGCCCTGGGGAAGCTGAGCAAGGAGGTAGAGTTCAAGGAGATGCTAGGGGAGGGCATGGGACCAGCTTCATACAGGTGCCTGTGACAGCTGTGGAACAGGTCCAGTGATGAGCTACTAGACTACAGGGCCTGGGTCCCAAGCCACCCTTCCTGCTGCCCGGCCCCCAGGAGTTCAGGGAGATAATGTGTGACTGCTCAGGTGAGAATGTACTGCTCTGACAGACACTGTGGTCTGACCAGAGTCCTAGGATAGGCTAGACAAGGTGGTTTCTGCAGGAATATGGAAGGTTCCAGAACTCTGGCATTCACACTGCAGCCATGAGGAATGCAGGACTGGTCATACTTTGTTAAAATTAAGTGACAAGTGGCCCTCCCTGGTGGCGCAGCAGGTTAAAGCACAACACTAAGAAGCTTAAGCCACTTCCACATGAGTTCAATCCCCGCCTGCCCCGGAGGTGACCACATGGCGCGGCAGACCTCTCCTGACCCGCCGACTGCTTCCCCTCAGCAGTGTACTTCATTGATCTGCCTGTTCTGCTCCCTACTCTGTCTCTGGTGAATCCTCTCACCCTCCGCATCTCTGGCCTGTACCCCAGTTCTGTATGAATAAATAAATGAATCTTTAAAAAAAAATTAAGTGACAAGTAACAGTCATTTGGCAACCCAAATGCCAACTGGAGCTTTGAAATGAAAGCTGTAAGCGGGGTAGGGTGGGGGGGAGTTGGCTTGCATGGGTGTGTGGGGAACTTCTATTCTTGGGCAGCTAAGCATTTTTTCATGTGTAATTTTAGAAGCTGGGAGTGGGGTGAGACAGGGTGCCAGGCTGCCCAGGCAGGGAATAGCCCCTAGTGAGCAGGGTCCAGTCCTACTTCCTAAGAGAAGTTTTTCCTTTTCCTTCTCTGAAGTTTTTCCTTCAGAGGCACGAGCATAACCTCACCCCCACCCCTCCTTGCCTATGCCTCTTCTAACACATCAGGTCTCCTCATTTTTGCTCTCCAGCCTTTCTTTTTACCTAGCCCAACCCCATCCAGATGCTCCTTTTCAGTCCTCAGAGTCCAAGGTCCTCCTGTTCCAGCTCATCCACCCCTCACTGCAGCACACCCCTGGCACCAAGCACCCACCACTCCAGACCCACCACCCCCTGGGCTCCTGCCAAAATCACCAGCTTCCTCCCACAGGTTCACCACCACCACCACAGGAAGGCTTCCTTCTCTTGGTTCCTGGCCTGGGGGGAAGGGACTCCTGCTGAGATATCTCTGCCACTCATCCTAGGGTGACATGGGGTCCATCAGGACAGGAAGATCATCTGGAGAACCCCAACTCAAGTCCTCCTGCTAAATGGCAGCCTACTGCTTCCCAGGGCAAATCCCTGATAGTCCAGCATGTGCACAGCACTACTTCTGCCTGCTGCTGCTGGTTCCCCAGGGCTTTGCTACTCTATCTGCAAAGTGGGACCCAATGCCACCTCCCAGAACAGAAGCTGGCCAGGTCTATCCACAGAGTACATAGGTCAGGACCCCCAAGTCACTGGCTGGATGACACTGCAATACACAACCAAATCTTTGGCCTCTCAGTTTCAACAACTGTGGGATGAGGAAAGTGATCAGATACCCTGTGGTCACCAGAGAAGAGTTTGGGGGCAAGTAAAAAACCACATACTGTCATGGACAGAGGACCTCTGGGTCCTCCCAGAGCAGTATAGGGAAACAACAGCCTTGCCATCAGAGGGGAAGGGGGGCTGGGGGCTGGGTCAGGGGGCATCAGTCACTTAAGACAGATGGTGGCAACACTGGTACAGAGGAAGACAGCCTCCTTGTGAAAGAGGCATCTCCTAGGACAGCCCTTGCCGAGGCTGGCACTGTAACTGGAAAAGCACTGTGTTCTCGCCATCCAAACTCCTCAGCTGAGCCAGCGCTGTAGGAATATATGTAGGGTGGGGACAGAGTCTGGTGACAGTAGGGATACTAACTTGGACTTGGGGATGAACAGGTGATGCTGGGGAATCTTCCACCCCAATCAAGAACCTGGTTGGCTTCCACAACCCTCAGAGGGCATGGGAGGCTATTGGTGCTTAGAGAGTACAGGCTTTCTCCTGAAGTCCAGAAGAAACAGCAGGAACCCCAGTCCCACCAGACCTGTTTTTTAACTAAGCTCACTTCCTGCCACCAAAACCAGAAGATAGCAAGCCCCTGATAGCCATGGCCAGACCCTCCTGGAAGGGGACACAGTAGGTTGGCACAGAGCCTGCACTAGCTTTTCATGAAAAGGAGGGCCTGGTAAGCAACTGAAACAGTCTCCCTCAGCAAGGTCAAACCCACAGCCCTGAGCACAGCAATCCTGTGGGAGGAAATGAGATCATGCACCCAGCTCCAGACCTCAGACAACAACCCAACCCCTGGATCTAAGCCCAGCTCTTCCCTGGCCCACAGGCTTCAGCAAAATCTGACCCAAACAGGGGTGTGACTGCCCTGCTGCTGTCAGCCCCAGGTTCTACCCCAAATCTCACAGGCCCCTGACTGACACAAGCTATGCAACAGCTATTGTCTTGCAGATTCCAGGTAGCTCGGGAAAAGCTCTGAAAAATCAGAATTTCCACTGCTAACTTATGTTATGACCTCCCTTTTTTGTATAATCATAATATCAAAAAATATTGTAGCAACATCAGTTTGTAACTGGATTGCCTTAGCTCTAAATTGGCTACCTGGCCTGGGCAAAGTACAAGCTGAGCTGCTCCTGGGCAGGAAATTCCTTTGACTGAAGACAAAAGGCAAGCTCCTGGAGAGATAAGACCCCAGAGCATCAAGACTCCTGGAAAACTTCTTTGGTCTTTTGACAAAAAGCGATTCTTAAGATAACTCTCAGGGCATAAGGACCCATGGACATTTTCCTAATATTATCAACACAGGTTTTGCTTAATGCATAACTATGTGACTTCTTAATTTACTCTTTTCCTAAAAAATCACTAACTACTCTCTGCTAGTCTTATTTAACCTCTTCCTAAAACAAACACTAGCTACTCTCTGCTAACCTTAAGTTAGCCATTAGCTTCTCTTTAGACTATCACTGAGGACTCTGCTAACACAATTTATCCCTTCACTAGGACTCCTAAATCCTTTGCTAACAGCTCATCCTGTCCCAGACCCTGATCCTTTAAAGTCATAGTTAAACATCCATATACATGAAAGCTATCACAAAGATGTATAGTATAGTGCGCCATAAAGTAGCAGAAGAGGATGCATTGTTCTCCTCTTCCTTTAAAACTTTTATGCCGATTTCTTATTAACTTACCTGATGCATTATTGTAACTAAACCTTGCTAAACAGTATAAATAAAGACCTGCAAAAAGATGAGCAGGAAGACTTGCACCCAACTCCGACTCCCGTGTCTTCCTCGCTCCCCTTTCCCTTTTTTCTCCTTCTCCCCTTTTTAGGAATCTCCGCTCGCCGACGCCTTCCCACCTTGGGGTCCTGCCTGTGCTGCCTCCAGACACCTCAATAGTTGGAGCTGACCACAGCTGACCACCTGACCACAGCTCAGAGCCATCTGCCCATGTCAACTGCAGAGGATGGGTCTCCCTACAGCCTGGAACAAAGTCCCTTGCCCTATTGCAGTGAGAACCTGGTGGAGGGGTCAGATCACAGGGACCCCGAGGTCATGGCCAGGATGGTAGCTGATATGGTTCTTCCAGCCACACATGTAGCCTGTCTGTTGTTGTCCCACCACATGGTGATGGAAGTCCATCCTTCTCCCTCTGCTGCTGTGGCTCCGCCTGGGGGTGGGGGGGGGTTGGGGGCGGGGGGCTCGGCCAGGACTCTGGGAGAGCTGGCTCAGTGTGTACACTGGTTACCTCTTTCAGCTCCTGGGCCACGGATGTCAGGCGCTCATTCTCAGACTGTGTGTTGGTGAGTACATTGCGCAGCTGCTTCAACTCTGTTTGTAGCTCCAGAACCTTCCGCACATAGTACTGCTCCTTGGAGGCCGACTCCTGGATCAAACTCTCCTCCCGGCTCTCACCATCCGCAGCCACCTTTTTATGATTTGTGTGTGCCTGTCCAAATGCCTGCAAGGGTGACAAGATGCTTGTGAGAATGTGCCTGGGCCCAAGCGCCACCTAGAGCCAGACACTGTGAGGGAAGATGGATGCTACGTAGCTAGTGTGCCAACCTGAACACAGGGGAAGCTAGATATGGACAGTGAATCCATAGTGCTATGTGGGACAGGAAGCCAAGTGCCATCTCTGCAGTGCAGGACCCCTCTGCAGTTAGGACCCCTGCTCTAGGAGGAGGGCAGGAGAGCCTCCAGGAGCACCTAGCCCAGCCAGTAAGGAATGAACACTAGAAGCTGTCCACACACTACACCTGCTCCCCTTCAGAGTAGGGAAACCAAGACACAGGGAGGTGGGTGGCCACCCAGATGGAGTTTGCCCGGCTGGCTGCCTGATTCTAACCCCTCTATCTACCCATTCTGAAGAACCTCCATGCCCTAGAAGACTAGAAAAATAGGTACCAGGACAAACTCATGTACGGGGACTGGAGCATGACGCAGGATACTTGGAACCAGCCCAGGCAGGCTACCACGCAAACCAGAGTAAGGAGACCCCACCCACTCACCCGGCCCTGGGTGAAATGGGAGGCGAAAATACCAAAGGATGGAGAGCTCCGTTATCCCAGAATAGCAAGGGTTGAAGAGACCATGAGGTGCAGCTGCCCTTCCTTCTCAGTGCAGGCTGGGACCCAGGCGCCTGTCATGGTGTCTTCCCTAAGCAGACTTTGAGGAATCATCTTTTTTTTTTTTAAAATAATATAATAGTTTATTTTTACATCATTTTGTGCCTTTTTCCATCTCAGTTGTAATCCCCGTG